CTGGCAGCAAATTACTCGGTGCCCATCTTTACCAACAGCGGCAATCCGTCCGATAACAGCGGACCCCAAATACATCATCAATACCCTAATTTTTCGGTATCATACACAAAGGATAAGCAGGCTTACTTTGATGTCATCAAAACCATTATTGATTGTATGCCGCGACTCATGCCGGCAGGTATTCCTTTACCCCGTCTGGTTGAGATACTATCACGCTATACAGTGCATATGGATCCCGACATTATCAAAAGTGCATCAAAGGCACTGTTACGCGTGGCTGCTCAGATCGATAGTCAGACCGTTGTTACCGGTTTCTCTCGTTATATTTGTAAGATTGAAGATAAATTCTCGGATGTGGTGCATTCATTGGCAAACGGACCCTTAACGGGCGGTAGTCATAATGGAAATGGTGGGGTGATTAAACTGTATGTCGACCTATTGTCTATTTGGGTCAATCAGTTGGATTTAACAAATCTGGAGAGACCTGCACTTACAAAGGAGGCGAGAAGTTCGATCGACATCAATGTGAATAAACTAATGGAATTGGTGGAAGAAACAGAGGCGAACGGTTTATTGTTCTTATGTAATCAATCTTCTGCCATCCGTCGATGGGCTGTGCAGATCATTAAACTGGCATCCAAATTAGCGGAAAGACTAAAGACTATTTTGGAAAATAAAGAGGAACAGGGAGGGAAAAGTAATAATAGTACAGATATCCCAAACAGAAAGTGGGATAGAATATACCAACTCTTGGAGAATATCGGACAGGACATCATTCAATTTGATAAGGATGCAAATGAACTCTATGGTCGCTCACTTTCACAGGATACAAAGACACGTATACTTCAGCATCAGCGAAGAGGATTGGAGCATGTGTTGGTGCAGATTGCAGAGAGTGATCATGCAACCGATGTGATTATTTGGAATTTGTGTTTACCAGAGATCTCGAGAAAATGCTTTGAACAGTTTCCCGATACTACCATTCGATGTCGATTGGATATATGCACCAGACTGTTACAGATCCAACCCTCCATCATGGCATGGGTAGAGACCATCAAGGCAGGTACAACAGGTACACTAAGTATGGCAAAAAACAATAGCTCAAGTATGAAAACGGCAAGTCCCGAGACCATTGGACAATGGCATATCTATCTCACCTTTGCCTGTGCAACCGCCGTTCCTGTCGCGAGTCCAACGACCTCATTACCCATCTGGTCCAGCGTGGGACGTAAGGGCTCGGCCAACATTGAACGCATCTCAAGTCCCCGTGATCTCTTTCGTTTGATCTCCCCTTTCTTAACATGTGAGCATCGTCAAATCCGAGAGAGTGCCATTGAAGGTCTTTGTAATATCAATCAAAAAGTATTCAAATCGCTCATTTTGGAACTGGAAGGTTACATCAAAATCATCCTGGATGACGGCAAACAGCGGAACAATCAAAAGCCATATCAAAACAAGCGAATCAAAAAGAATGATCGGTTACGTATCTCTGTGATGCATGTATTGGACCTGACCGCACGCTGTCTAGCCGATCCGGCCATTGTCGGGGACAAGGATATTATGAATGTGATTATGAGTTATATCAAAGAGACAAAGTCGTTTTTGACAGATACAGAAATCCAGATGGAATGGGAGTACCAGCGTTTAAGGATACACTTTTGTGGGCTTGTAGAGAAATTATATGATAGCATCATGACCTTGGAGGATCCTACCTCCATCATGTCGTTTGAGACCAGATTGAGTTTATATAAAATGTTTGAAGAGTGGTGTGGTTATGGCGCATTGGCAAAAAATACACAACAGCGGGAAGCCACCATGATGCGGGATGTTCTGGAACAGTGTAAGGATCTAAAAGAGAAGATGAGCATGACACAGTTGATGGAAGATGAACGAAAGGCGTTGGAGAGTAGTTCTGTTGGTGCTATGGCAACCCTTTGTGTAAGTCTACAAGTTGTTCTTATATTCGTTTATAGCATGAATTTTTAATAGTCGATTGTTCTTAAAAAAAAAAAATAGCGAGGTCCTTTGTATGCATTTTTGGGTCAAAAGAAAGCACGACAAGCCATGATTCAATTTGATATTTTAGGTGTCCTGCGATGGATTGATTCTGTTTTCGAGAGCAGAGATCCAAGATTCCATGTCATTGCTCGGTAATTTATTTATTTTTTTCTTCTCAAGTTAGTTTAATCCCCTCGCAAACACTCACCTTTTATTTATTTTTATTTCAGTCATGCTCTTGAAGCAGTGATGATATACCATCAGGATCAAGCTGTATTGCTGGATGATATTATTGAACAATGCTATGCAGGAAATCCAAAACTTGAATTTACACAGGGATATTTCTTGGCACTTTCAGAGATTGTGACCCGCGAAGAAGATTATCCCTGTCATATCCATCAAATTATGAGTCTTGCTTTGTTCAAGACGGGTGATTCAAAAAAGATCATCCGAAAGACCGCTATTCAGCTTTTACGTGTGATTGAGGACCGTGTGTTTGCTGATTCATGTGCAAAGGAGTATGAAATTGGAATTACCAGTAGTTTACCCGCTATCTATAAACATACACAGACACTGTTGTCTGCACGCCTGGCACTCGACCACTCAGAGCAGACATACTCTATGCTCTCTGAGGTGACACAGCGATTTGAGCATATCAGCCCCAATTCTCAGAGAGAGGTACTGACATATATGCTCCCCTGGCATCGCAAGGTGGATCTTGCAATAGGTCCTCATGACACGGAGCTTAGTGCTTCCGCTTATATGGTACTCTCCAACCTGTACTACATCACAATCAAGTTTGGTGATATTTATGTAAAGGAAACTGCAGCATTATGGAGTCAATTGGTTGATCATGGACGCAACGTCCGTGCCATTATCATGTTTCTCTTGGATATGGGTTTAGAAAAAAGAAATCCTTGGTTCTTAATACACGCAAAACGCGTGTTTGTTTGTCTTGGTCGCACTCATGCCTTTGGTAATGTTACCGAGGAAATCATTGCTGAAATCACCCCACGTTCCATGGTACCACAACTCAAGGATGCTAGTAGTCGACATGCAAATGCTTTCCCGATGCTGTTTGTAGCGGACACCGAAAAAGTGCTTCCCTCTTACCCGAAACGCCCTGTATTTTCTCGAGGTCAACTCGCCATGGTATTCCTTGTTGATCTTGCCATCGAGGCTGGTGCAGATTTGGCACCACATTTACCGTTGCTGCTTCACAGTATCTTTGTACAGCTTGACCACCTCACAAGTATCATCTGTGACCAATCACGCTGTTTCCTCATCAATCTTATCCACTCGATTGTATTGAGACAGTCCATTGACTCTGAAGTATCAGAGCTCGCATCAGAGATCATTCAAGGCCTGGTAAGTAAAGAGGGTAAAAGATTATGGGCCTATGAAAATATTACGCCCAAAAATAGACGGATTCAAAGCGCCAACGAACTCAAGGACCTCATTGTTCGAGTTGTACAAGTCTTTTCTTATGAGGACCGTGATCTTCGTCAAAAATGGGGTGAAACCGCTCTAAAGTGGGCCACTTGTTGTTCTGTACGCCACATTGCCTGTCGCTCATTCCAATGCTTCCGTGCCCTTATGCCTGCATTTAATCAGCACATGCTGGCCGATATGCTAGCGCGTCTCTCAAATACAATCGCAGACAAATCTGAAGAGATACGTGGATTTGCGTTGGAGATCATACTGACACTTACGGAAGTTGCCAAATCTATGGATAAGGCACAGATGGAGCAATTTCCTCAACTGTTTTGGGCAGCGGTTGCTTGTCTGTATAGTCCATACGAGTCGGAGCACAGTGAGGCACTCTTGCTGCTGGAAGTGGTGCTTGAAAAGTATGACTCGATTTCAAAACTGGCAGAGAGTTTCCCAAAGACATGGTTTAGTGAATTCGAAGGGCTTCAGCCTCTTTTACTAAAGGGTCTTCAGTTTTCATCTGTAGAGGAAAAGACATTTGATATTTTGGATTCGATATCCTTACAAGATGATTTGCCATTGATTGATCCCTCCGAAACACGTCTCATGTATTTACTCCTGGGATGTCTTCCCAGATTACTGCATGGATTGGATGATGAAAGAGCACCTGACTCCGAATCGGTCGCTTTGGCCAATCGACTCGTTCAATTATTCGAAGGATACGGCCTCCAGGGTGTACAGCGTATTCTTAGTACTTATTCCATTCAAAAATCAAAATTCCAAGAAGACTTTCTTCGACAGATCTTGGCAAGCATCCGTGATGTTTTCCTTACTCAATACAGTCAACAGGCATTTATGTTTGCACTGCTCCTGGTGAAAAATAAATTGCCCTACTATCGCGAAAAAGCGCTCCTGATGATTGAGAACCTTGTCCCCTACATCACGGGTAAAGCCGCTCAAACCACAGGAACAACAGCCATTGAAATTGCGGCACTTGAGCCACTCTTACAGCTGGTCTCAACCGAATATGCCGAGCGCGCCATATCCATTTTGAATTCAGGTATCCAATCCTCCACCAGTCCACCAGCAGAAGACATCACACACGCAGACAGTGAATTGATTTGGGGATTCAATAACTTTGCTGCTACCGCCAAAATCACTCGTCATAACATCCATGCCGTCGTCTATGAGTGCTCATCTATCACGAACGAGATACCCATCGAGCACAATATCCAGTTCTCTGTTGAGGACTTTTCCATGCTCACGGGTGAATCCAATAATGTACCCGAACAGCAAGAGCGTATCTATAGAGATGACCATCTCTTTGTTGCAGCTGCTGGTACAAACGGTGTCTCCTCTGGTGGTAGCCCTTATGATGAAGATTTGATGAATGCTTTACAAGATCTTGATGACTTTTTCAATGAAGATGGTGAACATATACCAAACAGTCCTTTGGGTGAACCGCGAGATACGAATCTATCTGGAAGCTATTCATCTTCTCCAAGTCCAAGTATACCACAAAGTGTACGAGATCCATAAACAAATATAAAGAATGGTGTACATATATATATAGATAATAATGCGTTTTTTATTTTCTCTTTTTTTTTTTTTTTAAATGTTTGTGCTTCCTATATCTTTCTATTTAATTGTGCCTGAGTAGATGCTACTTTTCTGTGATTAAATGTAATAAAAGATGGTCTAGTGTCAATTTTATCAATGGTCCTAAATAGAATAGATGAGTAAAAGGTTGCTTTAAATACATATATGAACAAAAAAAAAGCAATGTCCTACATCTTTGCAACTTCATCTTCCATGGCAATGGGTTTGAACGCGTCTGCGGATAATACGAAACCGAATAAGGCAACGAAAGCAGATACTAAGCACTCGGAGACAATCTATTCGTGATTTCAAATATAAAGTTAATGAATGGAAGAATAATCAA